TTGAGTCCACCACGCATGATGAAAGTTCAGCAGGTCCGAAGCCGCATGCCATTCAACAAAATTATCAACACACAAGAAAGCAATTATAATTGTTTTTTGCATTAATTACTCTATCCCAAAAATACTGCCAACTCCTATGCATTCGCTACCGGTATCTGCTACTGCTCTCTGATTATGTCTTTGATGAAGAATCTGTGACGGATTTTGAAACGTCAGGCGAATAAAAGTATTGTACGAGCGACCGTGCCGTCTTCTTCTCAATCGATGTCAATATCAAATCCTCTGATCTTTCTCATGCACAACTTCACTGTCCGAACCTGTCAATCAGCTGATCCTGAGGCTGGGCTTTGTGGATGATGCGGCGCAAAGCACTACTTTCAGACCTTCCAGCAGATCCTTCTGGGCTAGCGTGGACTCACTGGTAGTCCGTACCCAATGCCACCGCGCAGACTCATCTTCGATTCGCTGGTCAGGCATTGAGTATTCGTGTCTGCCAATCTTCACTGCACGCTTTTGGTCAATCGCTGCTAGAACGCCGTGTTGTCCTGTCCGTTTCACGCGCCCGGTCAGTTCGCTGGTTGTTCCGCGCGTAAGCTTAAGGATAATCAATGCGCGTCATTGTGTTGATTGGTTACAAGCTGCGGGGTACACGTCCCGGAATCAGGTAATCCCAATAGCGTTTGGCAGAGCCCTTTGTATAGCTTGTTTCTAGCTGTTATAACCTATCATGTCTTTCCTGACTTCTGGGTTGGTAAAACTTCGTTTTCTTGGCATAACTACGTCAACAAACCTGTTTAAAACATTCTTTCCTCGGTACAACTTTGAAGAATGAGTAAACAACAGAATTTAAGGGATTCATCAATTTCGAGAGTGCTCATCAGCTGCTTCCTCTCGCTGCAAAACGTTAATAAAAAATATAAAGTTGAATTCGTACAGAAAAGTGAGTAAGGTCATAGGATGACTTGCTAGTTACTGGCATGCTTTAGTTACTGATTAGTCTTTATGACCAAGTTCTATGATGTCACTGACCTTTGCGTGTGAATTCAATTTTGTATTTTCTTATACGTTACTCGCGGAGGAAGCAGCTGATAAGCGTTCTCGAAATTTATGGAT